CAAGTATGTGGGTGACAGGGTAGATACACGGTACGCACATTTCTTCAAGTAAAACGAAGCTTGGCAATCCCAGCTTTACTGTTAGACATCAGCTGTTTTCCCAATTAGGAGAAGTGTGGTGAATGAGCTGCTAAGTTATCACCTATGGGTGTAATGGTGAACGAGGGTCCTCAGTGGCTCCATTGGTAGTTCATCGAAGGACGGAAGTTAGAGTCCTTCACCATTCGTGTCTTTTCGTTCATGCTGTGTGCAACTGAGCCTCTATTTTCGAAGACTCAACTCATTCTCATTGTTCTTTGTAATGTGTCCATTAGCCAGTCCTGTGGAATTCCCCTATAGACTACCCTTGTTTGTCTGCTCTCAGGTCGGGGGTTGGATCATTTCTACGTCATCCATCAACTAGCTGTTACATCGGCACTTACGGACGAGTAGATGTCATATTGTTTTGTCGATGGACTAGTCTTCATCCGGGTTTGTGGGTCATCTGTAACAGGAGACCATTTCATCCGTTCACTATGGGTGTAACGTTGGATACTACTGATGAACAATGCTAGTAGTATGTTTTCTCTTAAATCCACTTCACGTCTCTTGAAAAGTGAGATCTACTACGGAATTTGTGGAGTCGCGTTTGCTTGCACTTGGGTAACGGTCAATGAATATCCAGGAAAGTTCAGGAAAATGCGTTCAAGGAGAAGATGGATTTGCAGTTTTTGTAAACAAGATGTATATGAGAGTTTTGATTCCCTGTCCAACAGCCTATAACTGTTCAGTAGGTGTTTCCCAATGAGCGACTCCGCGACGAACGCTTTCGTCCTTTCCTTAGCCAATCACGGCTTACCAATAACTTTCCCAATCGTTCGAGTGCACATTAGCGGTCATCCGGGGATCATACTGTAGCTGGAACATCTGTTGTTCGAAGCCTTACACACTCGTGTCATCCTACAGTGTGGGTATATGAACAAACTGTCTTATTGTCAAAGCTCGATCGCAAACCACTGTGCGCCAGCTAGAACCGGTAACACCATCAAACCTCACACATGCTGGTGTCTCAACTTTTAGGGTTCGGGCAACTCCACAGACGCTTGTTGCTCTGCAGACAGAAGAGATATGGACGTTTTCTACACTAAACAAGCATTTCCCGTCCGAGAGAAAGGTCTGTTGGGCAGCCGTAGAATTTCACTTTCGGTGATCAGCGCCAACCAAATTTCGGTCGCATTCTCCATACAATGTGCTTACACGGCTCGACCAGTTGCAGTGTCTTCATTTGTGCCACAAAATGTTTCACCGCGTCTTGTCACTCAAGCTGTCTAAGCCGGCTGTCAGTCAGTTTCCAACAATGAAGTCCAAAAGCAAGCAGTCAGTTGCAAAGAACCACTTGTAAGATAAATCGAAAATTGATGGCGGTGTGAGGAGATCTCACAATTTTCGATTCAGATTTTGACCCATTACTGAAGCCTCTCTAAAAACCAAAAAATACATACAGCGGTTTTATCCCTATTAGAGATTCATCAACAATGCACAGCCCAAGAAACTCAGAGTTTGGAAGTCGAGGCTTTCCGGTCAGTGGTTGACCACTTAAGCGTCCGGCAACCGGCGGCTCGTGATGAAGTGTTCAAACTACTAGCCAAGAGCTTCGTAAGATGTGCACTGCTGAGGATGGCTCGCAGTAAGCAAGCATCCCGGAAGTTCACTGGTGGCAAGTCCCCGAGGGAGCAGCTCGCTGCAAGGACCGCTCGCAAGGACGCGCAGGAGACTGGTGGTGTGAAGAAGCCTCATCGGTACAAGCCCAGCACCGTCGCATTTCGTGAAATTCGTCGTTACCAGAAGAGCTCTTGATCCGCAAACTACCTGTCCAACGACTTGTCCCTGGGATTGCCCAAGAACTTCGCTCCCAAAGCTCCGCTGTCTCAGCTCTGCAGTGGTTCTCGGATTTACAGCGTAGACTGTTTCAAAATATGGGATGAAATCCTACTTGAAAACCAACCATTGCTTAAGGCTCAGACGACGCTATGAAATATGTGTAACTCTGGTCCGCCGGGTTTGATTACAGGATGACAAATGCTTGGTCGCCGCATTGAAAAAGGTCACAAAGTGTGACCCAGAAATGTCCAGCAACGACCCCTTGAAAAGAGCCCCGAGCGATAACTCTCACCTTGGCTTGGTGGACGCGATTAGGTGCTGCAATGATCCCATCGGCTGAAACACCGTGCTACGGGGTGGTCTGCGCTGCACATTCAGTTGAAGAATATCACAAGCGAGACATTCAGCTGAGTGTGTCATTGAAACTCAATTGGTGTTCGAAGGAGTGTATTTTTCGATTGATCGAGCAATTCATTACCAATTTTTGCAGCAACTTTCAAAATATCCAATTGTACGATTCAGACTGAAAACTGAGTTTTGAAAACGCATTTTGTTCTTCGACATAGGCTAAGAAAACCCCCTGCGTAGTCACCAAACAATGACGTAGGTACAGCTTTCCGCCAGTGGGGCAGATATTCAGATTCGCGAAGAACGTTGTTCAGTAAAAACACGGTTTACCGACAGTACCACGATTCCAGTAGTCAGCAGTTTTTCAGGTCCAACAACGTGTTTTGAACGCTGAAAAATGACATCCCGAAGCCGTAACTGCGAACCGTATATCTCGGAAAAAAGCACATTCAGAAGGCATCTGTCCGTCCGGCGGTGTGTACACAACACAATCGTTTGACAGGCTGTCTTTGATAAAGGCAGTGGCATCACAACTCCATCCGCGTCGTTCTGAATGTACTGTTAGATCAAATCAAGAAAAGCAGTAGAATAAACAACAAAACGGGACAAGTGAGCGAGCAAGCGAGCGAGCGAGTGATTCACTTTCACGTACATCCTATAGGATTGCCAAGTAACAGCAAGGCGCAACAGCTCATCAGCTAATCAGCGGTTACGCGATTTGATGACCGATTGACAAGTGTGGCTTCTGCAAACAGCACTGAGTACAATGATTGGCATCGCACTGACCATGAAAATTCGACCTTTTATTACTCGAGCCACCACTATATTTCCCAGCCTACTATGATCAACTTGGTTAGACGTGGAAGCCTGCTTACGCTAGAAATCTTGATGAGCAGACTGTCGCGTGTCTTAGATCACCCAAAAGACCTGACCATGAAAATTCGACCTTTTATTACTGGAACGACCACTATATTTCCCAGCCTGGTATGATCAACGTGGTTAGACGTGGAAGCCTGCTTGCGCTAGAAATCTTGATGAGCAGACTGTCGTGTGTCTTAGATCACCCAAAAGAGAGCACTTCTGATGTCTTCAGCATTGTATCCATCAAGAATTGAATCCTGTAACGCTTGAATGTACGATGAAAAGACGATAAAGGGTTCAGTATGTGGCGATTCGGATCATTTGCGCAACAAGTGTTGTACCCCCAAACAGTCAACACTAGTTCCTGATGCCAGAAGTCGGTGACCATAATTTGGCCTAGTAAGTCATTTCAGACGTGGTATGCGAGAGCACACAGGAGCTTGTTGAATTCAAAATCTCTGGAAGCGGATCAGACACGTGTACTTGAAAATGTGAGAATTCCGAAAGCCCGGCGTGAGCTTTTGCTCAGTATGGGGTAGAGTAACCGATTTTTTTTAATAAATATGATGAAATGCTAATGCAATACCATGCACACCATCGATCAATAATCACGGCAACTGTGGACTTAATGAAACCTCCGACTCCCTAGTCAGACCGATAGTCTTACAAAAAATCTGCTCACCTTGAAGACTCACTAAGTTTTGGAATGTGCATAGCGACATCTAGCTCCAGATTTACAGTCAGGACCTACGGCAACTGTGGACTTAATGAAACCTCCGACTCCCTAGTCAGACCGATAGTCTTACAAAAAATCTGCTCACCTTGAAGACTCACTAAGTTTTGGAATGTGCATAGCGACATCTAGCTCCAGATTTACAGTTGATTCAGGACCTTCAACGAAATATCACATGTTCATATAGAAACTGATTAAAACTTTTGAGGTTGCCCTAAACCTCTGTTTCTGTTCGATTATACCATCGTGGCGTACGTAAGTTTCAAAATTCCATCCATCGGTAGACTTGAATAATTTAGATCCAAGGGTTTTATTTCGACTGATTACTCATGGACGCCGCAGTTCAGATGAAATTGTTGGTTTTCGCTGAACTCTGTCTCTCGTTATATGGTGAGTTGGGTACATCAAGCAGTGTGTCAAACTTGCCTTTAGCGCCTCACTCCATCAAGGCACACACGTTACCGCGATGAACATGATGGCGACACTGACAGATGAAGCGTACCATCGACTGGTTCTAAATACGGACAGAATAACTGCCACTCCCGACCAGTTTCACTGAGTCAAGCCAGTAGGTACCGCTAGTCTTATGGCTGGTATCCTGTACTACGAAAAATAGCTGACTTACCTGTAGTACACTTCGAATGCTAACATTGGCAGCTGGAATATCGGAATATGTTTCCCCGAGAATCAGGGACAATCCTCGACACGAACTAACGTGATTTAGTATTTCAGACACATTTAGTAGTGGTATCGGTCCTTTCCGAAGCCTCTAGAATAAATCGGTCGAGGAACGCTCTCTTTACTGGGAGTGGAAAACTAAGCAAGTATGCTTCTCTTATCCAGATGCTAAACACACCAAGATCAGTCATACTGTGGTTGAACATCATTCAGAGATTCTCAGTCAATCGATGACGAAGTTGAACAAGAATGGAGAGAGTGGACATCCTTGTCTGACACCACTTTTTGTAGGAAAGATTTTTGAGAGCTCACCATACAGCCTCACCCTCCCAGAAGTATGTGAATATAGGGATCGGATTAAGTTTACAAACTTCTGGGCATACCCTGTTGAGCAAGTGTAGTTAACAGCGCTGACCGATCAACAGAATCGAACGCACCAATGAAGTCGGGGAATAGCAAGATCGTGGGTCGTCTGTACATGTGGCGTTGCCCTAACACCTGACGGAGTGTGAAGATGTGGTTAACGCAGCCGAAATCGCGCTTGATTCTCACGAGTCAAGTCTTCGCATGTCACCGTGAGACGAAGAAGAATCAGTGACGTCAGAAGCCTTGTTACAACAGGCGTCAAATTAACACATCTGTGTTTACCACCTTCACTGCGAGTACCCTTTTTGAAAATGGATAGTATTATTGATTCACCCCTGTTGTCTGGGATGGACTACTTCTCCCAGATAGACTCAAAAAGGCTAGACAGGCACTGGCTGAGGATCCCACCACAATCCTTGAACAGAGAAGGTGGAAATTCGTCAGCACCATGACACTTGAATATAGAAATGCATTCGGGCACTGCAGGTGGCTCCATATTCTGTTGGAGGCCAGGATTCTGGATTGGGGGTAGCAGGTGGCCAGCTGAATCGCTGTTCGAAGTACTGTGCCCAGCGATGCAAGCTGATTATTTAGCTGACAAGATGTTTCCGGGGTCCAGTCGAACGAATCAATTGGAACAGCTTGCGGACGTTTCCAACATTCTTTGTTTCCGTCAACCTTCCGGATCCATCAAGCTCTTTGTTCTGCACGGACACTCAGCTTCATCTGGGCATCGGATGATGCGTCGGGTGGAGTTGTGGTTGTGACGAGAAGGAATTTATCGTCAGGCCTCACGCAAGAACATGGTCCTATCAGAGGTCCAATGTTTAAATGGGGTTGACTAAGCGGCACCGCAAATAGAAGTTCCGGGTTTGAGTAGTGATTTGGATATCTTTCCCCAATGACAGACAATATACATCAAAGCAAAAGGGAATCCAACGTACGAGCAAGAGCCATCTGTTGTTCTGCTTGCTTCAGTGTGCGAACAATAAATACAGCTAATTAGACGAGATTTCGGGGTTTGAAAACAGACTATAAGGTGTTTAGGACTGTGATTGAACTCAGACCTTCAGAAGCCGCTGCTGAGTATGATGCATGTCCAGCAAAACGGTTAGTCCTTGAGCTAAATCCTGCAGAGTATTCAACTTTGTATGGTGTAGGGTGGAAGAGGGACAGCGTGAAAATATAAGAAGGAAGACGTCTACACTAGCATGTTTTTGCTTACTTTCTCCGTTGTATGCGGCAATTCAGGGGACCAGGCTGATGGCACCAACCGACGGCCAATGTGGCACGAGAGTATTGTTGGCTAGACACCAGAACATTTGCTACCTACACGCTTCATCAGTAGTATACACCATTTCAATAGTAGTAAGTATACTTGCTACATGGGGATATACAGGGGTAATCCGCATAGGGCACTATTGACGGCTGTGTCTAGAATCCAACTTTGAGCTCACATATGAGAACAGTCCTCAGAACACAGCAAAATGGAATACTCTATGTCCACGTTGAGCCCACGAGAATACTGTGTTTGTGGTGTCCCGATCCTGTTGAATGGTGTTTGGGTTTTCACGAACTTTCCACGTTTCCGGTTTAGGTGGTTCACCTCGACTTTCTAATCTAGTTTGAACAGATGACCTACCAGGGTCTAGACAAGCGGTAATTAATGTATACCACAGTCCACCGAAGCTCAAAATACATCGTTGTAGGAACTGATAATCATTTGACAGGAAAGCCAACTTCTTGAGCAATGGAAAGCACAACAAAAGAAAAGAGGGAAAGCATTTGACGAGTTGTAAGAAATCACGGTGATCTGGCGCGTATCAGTGACCTGAGAGGCGCGCTAGACAATTTGAACTGGAACTTCCACGCACACGAAGGGTTGTCTTACCGCGTCCATCAGTACCCACCGGAAGGCGAAATCGACCTGGAAAAGAGAATTCGAGGAATTTCATCTCATTGTTTCAAAATTCAGTATGGCGAAATGGTCTCTTGGGTGTAGTCTTATGTGGGTGTAACATAGAGTATATGCGCATTGCCACGGCCGGTGGTAGCCACGATTGGGTCAGCATCTTTCACAGATCTGTCATCTGTGCAAAACTGTCACCACCTACCTGTGAATGAGTGGGAGCGATGTCTATGGACCTCCTGTATGAGTGCCACCTTCCTGGCTGAAGTGGACAAGTTGGCTCCACGTTTCCACATATCTGTGACACGTCCACTGCGAACGGAACGGCGACTCCCCCGACGACTCCATAGACTTCGGCTCGGCCAATAGATCCGACAACATCTACAATAAAAGATGAAATACACTGAACTGGTTTGCCACTTCTGCGCTGAATGATCATTTGGGCTGGATACATGGCTTCCACCATAGGATATCCCTGCATTCACACCGAGCGACATCATCTGGCTTTTGGCAACTAACCTGCTCTGAACTGGATTCGGAAGTTAGTTCTGCTCCCTCTACTTAGCCTGCACGGTACCGAGTCGCACGGTTCCACGCTGACCATTCTCACGGGAACAATGGATCCTGTGCAAAGTGAATGATAAATAGGCATCAATACGGTGGACATTGCCTATGGGGGGGTTGTGATTACTTTTATGAGCATGAGAGACATCTGACGATGAAATAAACAAGGATTAGCAAAGTGAAATTGCAGAAACGCTACAGTGGAAATTGGAAGGAATTCCGTGCAAGACGTGATGTTGCTGAAAGCTCTTCAAACGTTTTTCAGCTGCCTTGTGAGTAGCGTATTACAATACAATATGCAATTCATCGCGATATGTGGAATATCATACCAACCGAAACATAACACACTCAGCTGATTGGGAACATCACAAACGAGAGATTTGGTTGGTTTCCAGGTGTGCCTGTCGTCAAAACTGAACTGATATGCAAGTGAGTGCAACTGAGTACAGTTCTGTTGGACAAACCTTTGTTCATACGACGTAAGGATAACACTCACCACAGTCATTGTACGGCACCCGTCGAGCACTGATCCACACGATAGCAGTACTGACCAAGAGCAGTGTGTGTGGAACTAGCATGGTTGTTCCACTCTCAAACAGACAACAGCGATGCAGCACACTAGTCAATCTATTTATAACTCCCAATGCTCAACAGTTTCACTGGTCGCACGATGAGCCTCGAACATACGAAATGCGAGTAGATTTTCCAGACAAGTGGGGCGCTGTTTTGACCTTGGGTAGAATGAGAATCAACTGTTATGGTCACATCATTATGCACACCTCATTGTGAAGGTCATTTGTCAGTACACCAAGAGACGAACGTGTCTACTAGGTGGAAATTAGAGCCTGCAATTCACACTTGTTCCCAAAAGTTTCTAACACGGGGCATCTGAACTTGACGCACGAGAAACAGATCACACGCTCAAATTAAAACTCATTTGACAGAGTGAGTGATCATATTTGGCTTCCTAGTTGCACGCCAACCAAGCTCTGTCAAAGGCGACGATATGGTGTTGTCTGGACACCTGATTGCCACCCACTTCGATGTCCAGGAAAACTAAACATCCCTGATTTGTCTGGATGATTCTTAGACACCTGGTGTACGACCAAATGCATCCGTCTGTTAAATGGCTCACGATCAACTTAATGGGCGTTCGCGTATAAGCTATGAGATTAACCACGGTAGAAGTGCAACCATGAAGTGACTGATGGTCGAACAACTAGATGAATGTAGCACGCAGTCTTGCTGGTGGCGAACACCTTCACGTCTTTCAGTGTCCAGATTGTGGCACACGGAGTACTGTCATAGCTCACCATGACTAAAATCGAACATTCCTCAGACCCCTTTCTCAGTCCAAGAATTTTCTTTAGGTAGAACTGTTTTGGAACATTGATATTTTAATCCAGTTCGCTTTCATTCCTCTATACCATCAAATTTTCTTAAGCCGTTCAGTTATAACCCATTAATGAGCGTGTTTTTGGATCAAACTGACGCCGCCATCCACAGCAAGTTTCCACAGACAACATCATTTAGCGTCCACCAAACTGATGCATATCGCATCCATTTCACACAAGCTTCGCTGTTCCAGGTAGATGAGGTCGCATGGAACGGCAATTTGAGCTAATCAACAGAGAAGGGGATACGAGTGGCATCAATATCCCAAAAGTCTCATTACCATACGAAGATCTTACCCATAGGTAAGCAATATTTCATCCGCGTCGTTATCCGGTACTAGGCACAAGTGTTGCTTTATTAAAATGCTTTGGAATTTATTTGTTGCCTGAGTTGGATTATAATACTTGGGTGATGAAACTCGGTTCTCACGCCTTAAAAAGTTGCAACAGTTTGTAAGTGCGAAGGAGGAATCAATAGCTTTGTTTGTTCGTCTGGTTGCATGCAGCGACACCTGGATGACTCCGAACTGTGCTGAAGTTGGCTACTTGTCCCAGCAGTTCCATAACAAGCATATCGACAACAGCGAATAATGAGAAGCGCAGCCCTCAGAACAGGAAGACTGGTTTATCCAGCGACTCCAGAGGGAAGCAGGCGTGCCTCTGCGAGGAAGTTATCACGCTTCACGGCCGAGGACAAGGGACTATTCACTGCCATCTACCTGAAGGCAAATGAGTTGTACCCATCAACCATTATAGTTTCATTTGCGGTGGCTTTTGTGATAGAACTGATATAAGTCTTGTTATGAGAATACACAATCAAAATTCATGATCAACGGCCGCGCGCTACTTAAAGGCCACCTTTTCACATTGATCCAGACTGATAGAAAGACCCACCAACATCGATCGCGCTTCTATGAAATGCCTGAACGCTTCTGTGGCGTGCATGAACACTCATCGGCTTTTGCTAGATTTACTGAATGCATAATTGGCCAGGATGCACGTGAAGAACCATTCAAACAAACTTGGATTCCAAGAATGTACAGAGAGAATGCGCGAAACTGTGCGTACTGCGGCTTTAAACCGTTAAGGTCACTAACTTTTCTCAAGATCTGTCTTCCTGTCGTCAGTGAGCTTCGGAACAAGCCTCTACATTCGTGTGCGAACCAACATTGTAAGATTTCATCACATCAGTCATATTTTGCGTTTGAAACCTAGCGAGTGAAGGGGTCTGTGGGAGTGCTCGAGCACCCGCAAAACGCAGTAACAACGGTTGCGTGCCGGGCTTGCGAGCATAAACCTTTCTTCTCATAGTTCAATGTGAACGGGCGATTTGCACATACAACCGTGGTTTCCTGAACTCAAATATGAACACTCACTCGGTCAAATTAGCTTTAATTTGAGTGTGTGATCCGTTTCTCATGCGTCAATTTCAGATGCCGTCCGTTCGTGGGTTAAAAACTTTTGGGGATAAGTGTGAATTACAGGTCGCTAATTTTCACCTAATAGACAAGTTTGTCTCTTAGTT